TAGATATTGGTGTCATGCAGGCCACAGATCTACTTCACTCGGAAAAGGAATCCGTTCCTGGCGTCTGAAACTGAAGTACAGTACAAAACAATGCTGAACAACTTACATCGCTGGCCAGATTTCTGTAATTGGAGTTGATAATAGACTTGGTAACGGACCTTTATTAAAGAAAAACACATACTGATGCTCACTAGCAACTAGCACTATTCAGACAGTTAACCTGGGGTTCTAGTAGGAAGCCGTGACTAGTAGGGTACAGCAAGTTGAAGGTGAGGAAGTAACTCACCAAAGAAGACACTGAGAAGTGATCTTGCTATATCATGAATTGGCAGAAGTTAGAATTCATGGGCCATTGGATCGGGTCTCAGTGGCTTATTGGTCTACGAGCTAGCTCGCCTTGTAACCAGAAGGTCCTGGGTTCAAACCCCGTGGTGGTGGTGCAAAATGCTGAAGAGTCCTAAACTAGAACGAAACAGCTGTCCAGCACTCCTAGTTGATTATCCGCTGGTTCACTAACTGATGTCAGCTCATAATGAAATCCACCAACCAAATATACTAATACATTCGTAGCCACAATAAAGACCGACTAGGTCAGATTGATGGTCAGTCGGCCGAAGGTTGAATAAGTTGTTGAATGAGGTTATTTCATGTCCACAATGTAAAGCGAATCAATATTTTGGGAACAAACATTTGTATTTCTGCAGACATTGACTTAAGATGTTGACTTCACTTTTGGCCGCTTCCTATCAACCTGCATCATGCCACACTTCAAGTTCGACTGATTAAACTTCAGCTGCCATGATGATGACAATAATCTCACTAATTATTATCGGACAACTAAGTGATGCATTTTAATTAAACCAATGCTAAGGATGATAAAAAGTGACTCCCATGAATAGTTAACGACCTTCGTATAATAGAAAAATGAGTTTGAAGTACAATCGACTATGAACTGTAAGTCGAAAGGTTAATCGACGCATGCTTCGTTCTAATACGGAGCACTGCAGATCAGAAATCCCCATCATTTATCGAATCATCATTAGTCATTTCTCGTAGTGGCCATATAATCGTCCAGATACTGGGTTGAAATCAAATGGTCTGTTGTCTTCATCACTTTTTTCTTCTGCGTGTTCACTTGAATCCCTCCCTACCTTGACTGTCTTTTTTCGCCTGTAGATCTTCCAGTTAGTGAAACATGAGACATAAATTACCTCTAAACTCCATGTCGTTTTTGTGAGTGCACCGTAATCAAAAAGACTATCGGTAATACTAGATAAGCATTTCTTAAACAAGTCTCAGGTATTTCGTGAACTATTATCGATTAGCACATTGAAGCACTTGGTCATGTGATCCTCGCTTTACTTTCGAAAATTCATGTTATGTTATCATATGCTGAAAATTCCATATTTGTACCAAAAATACTGTGTGGTTTCAAGCTATAATCAAAAAAATATTATTATTAGTTATATGAATAAATGTGTCTTGTATTTATCTGATTTCAGATATTAGTCCACAGAAATTATATAATGCTGAAGAGAAACAACAAACAGTAGGATTCAATAAAGATATATATATACTCTCTTATAAATCGTTAGAAAACAGACAAAGAATTAGTGTGGATAGGGTAAAGTTGAGTAAAGGGAAGGGACAATGAGCACAAGAGAGAGAGAGAGTGGATAGGAACTAAGAGGAGGACACTGAAAGAAATCGCCCAACAATGCTGGTAATGACAATGATAATAAAACTTAATTTGATTTAATTACTATGTTTTGCTCCAGAAGGAAACACGTGTGGGTTTTTTCTCTTCAAAAACACTACAGAAAGAATTATACTTATATATATATATAATAACAAGAGAACTGATAGTATATTTTCGTGTGGAAAGGTGAAAGGAAAGAAGAAATGGGAAAAAGGTAGAATCTTGAAAACACGAAAAGGAAGGGAGAGATAGAGAGAAAAAATGACAAAACAGACAAAAACGCCGTAAAATTTTCTTCTTATAATTTACCTCCCAATTCTCACATAATCTAAGTGTAGATACACTGTGCTTTTTTCTTATCTTGCCTATCTTTCACTCTGTTGAAAATTTCATTCTCACCAATTTTTAAAGTGATTTACTTAGGTGTTCTGTTTTTTATATTATTGTCTAGCTTCTAGTTTCCTCTTTCTGTTACGTTTTATCTTAAGTTTTAACTAATAAAAAACAAAAAAATTTAAAAGAAAGTTAAGTTAACTCTTAATTATACTACTAATGATAATATACTTCAGTAAGTAAATTGATAAGCAGGGAATCACATCCACCCCGCCTACACACTGATATGTTGGTTAGCTCAGTGATGAAGTGTATACTATGCTTAAGTAAGTAAGAATAACATGGAGATTACGTTTTCACTGGAGTAGTCTGACGAATGAGAGAAAGAGAAAAGGGAGAAAGGGAAAAAGGGGGCGGTGAAACAGACACACATGGAGAGAGAGAGAGAGTAACAGAGATGAAAGACGATGGAGGGAAAGAGAAAAGGAATTCACGAGAAGAGGATATTAAATTCAAGGTAATAATGTTAGAAAGTAAAAAACAACTGTAGGCAAGTGACTGTTGTTGTTGGTTGCAAAGTTTTATTCCCCCCTCTCCCTCTCTCACCTTTCACAGGTTTCAAAAACTATTCTTCTCTTGGTTGCTTTTTACTTGGTTCAGCAGGCAGTACAAAAAACAGCAACAACAAGCATAAATCCCCCATGTTATTGATGATATTAACAGTAATAATAAAACAGTGCACCGGAAATGAAGAAACCGCTGAGGTCTTAATCAAAGTATATTTCTAAAAGATACCAAATAACGAGTTGGATAGTTGACTAGATGATGCATGGAAGGATGTTTTCTGTTATTTTGTAAAGTGAGAGAACATTAAAACCCATTTCCTTCTCTCTCTCTCTCTCAAGATGCTGGTACTTCACTCATTCACCAGTATGTCCCTTTCGATAGCCCTTATCCGTCAGAAATAATAACAGTCATTATTATCATTAATAAACTATTCTTTTTCTTCTAATAACTTCCGCACTTCCTGTTTAGCCATTAATTTATGTGTGCACCGGAACTGTAACAGTTAATTTGTGTCCTAATGAGTCTGTCTGAAAATGGTTCCATGTCCACAACCACACATTCACACAGATGCATACGCCTATTAGAAAACCCCTCAACACTCAGAAGTACATATGTAGGTATGTTCTGAATCCCTCATTGTTCGTCACTCACTAATAATGGGTGATCTAAACTCCCTCTCTTCCTCTGTTACCGTTAAAAACCAAAAATTTTTGCACCTGTCTAATGATCAATCAATTGATAAGTCAGGCTGTAAAGAGGGGAATAAGGAAAGGAAGTCGGTAGATGAAAAAGATAAGGGTATTGTTGAATAATAAGCGTGAATAGGTAAAAGACACAGCCATAGCCGACATCTCCTGAGGTCACATCAATATAAAGTAAAATTTAACATATATATACATATTGACCGGCAGGTTACCTCAGAACGACTGTCATCACCAGTTAGAGATAAGTACACATTTTTGGGGTGAAAGAGTGAAAAAAGGTAGAAGAGTAGTGAATTGTATCAAAGAAATCAGTACAAAATTTTTTTACTATGACCTGATTTTTTTCACTACTTCCTTGTTAAAAGCTTGTCACAAGAGACTGCCAATTTCATTTCAGTGTGTATGAATGAACGCCTGGTGTTAACATTACAAGAAATGTTTGTGTGTTAAATCACAGACAGTGAAGTGGTCTTATGTCACACCAGGGAAAAAAGAACTTCAGGAAGTAAATTTCTTTGCAAGAAGAAAACAGGGTATTATTCAGCATAGTTTTATAGTTGAAACAAACTCAAAAGTAGCACAGATTACGGCGATTAAAATAGTGTAAATAAATTTTTTTTAATGTCGAAATAACACTTTTCTGGGTAAATGGAGAGGTAATAAAAAAAACTGCATACACAAATGAGCCCGCAAATGCTGCTGTTTTGTTTAATTATAACTTAGCTGTTAGCTCTGTTTAAGATGAGACAAATGACTTGCTGTTTAAAAACAAACTTAGCATCCATTTAGTAGAGGGTTACAAGGAAATTCGACTGGCGCGTTCACTTTCAGTGCCTTGCGTAGAACTTCAAGCCTTGAACTTTCAGTAACGGCAGTCTTGTTATTATTTTTGCATGTTGGAGTTGTCCACCTCACACTCAACCTTCCCCGTCTTTCAGGATTACTATCAGCTAATACACTAGGTGAGGTTTAGGTGTGCTCCAGCCGAGAATCGAAACTCGAACTCCTTAGTGGTTGGCGAGGAGGTTCACTTTCAGCAATAGTACTTTCTCCGCCAAGACTCGAGATTAGAAGAAATCGCTTTAAATATCAAAGTTTTTTCTCCATCAGATTCGAGTTCAAATAAAATAGTAGAAATATAAAATCACAAATATACATGTTACCATTGAAATTCTCACCTGTTATAACTAAATAAAAGTTGTCTGAAGTGCTTCTCTAATTAATTTTATTCTAGTTTCTGGTTCGCCTAATGAGAAACCCTAACAATCTTGTGGAGCTTGAAATCCCATTGGCTTCACGATTGATTACTTTTCTATTTATACATATCTAAGTCAATGATATAGAAAAACTAGTTCCTGAGCATTTATCATGACATCCAACAAAGGACGTTGTATGATACTTTTCATCATTTATAGTCCTTTGCTTTGTCTTGTAATAAAAACTTCTTTGAGAAAGCTTAACAAATGTGGAAATTAGCCCATGTATTAATTTTGTTTTTATTACATTTTTGTCTACAGTCTTCCGCCTACATCTCAAAAAGTGTGCATACGCATAAATACATACCTTTTATTCGGCTTTAACAAAATACTGATATGGTTTCAGAAGACGTCAACAAAACACCAAGTGAAATGCAGTTCTCTCAACCAGTTCCCTTAGACTTATCGTGCCATTCATTGATTCTGAACGGGTCAATAAACATGATCACAACGCCATCACCACCACCCCTGCAGCTGCCTATGAAGCCTATCGATGATATGCCTGAAGCTTTTTCCAGCCGACAGTCATTTAATAATTCACATGTAGGATTTATCAGTCCAGTTGTATCACAGACTACCAGTGAAACAACTAATTTTAAAAGTGACAGCTATCGATTAACGGAGCGTTTGACTTGCCCACAATCAGGAATAATTGAAGATAATAATACATGCTCATTTCAAACACCATTAGAAGCGTTTCAACTGTTTTGTTCATCAAGGAGAAGTCATTTAAAATCTCCAGATTTTCATTCTGCACCAGTGGTTATTCCACGTCCTGAACAACTATTAGCCTTGACAATGTTACAAAATCGTAAGTCCTTTAAACTGCCTTCAATAAAGAATAATGATGACATTATTTCAACATCATATAGTGAATCCATTCAACATTTTAAAAATGTCCCATTCAGTAATTTATTTCCTTCATTATCACATTTAAATGATTATCGATTTTTTAATCCGATCAACAGTTATCCAAATTCAAATCATAATCGATTCGATCTGATGTCAACTTATTTAAAAATGTTGGAGAGATCAAAAAATTATCTAAAATCATTTATTTCAAATCTAAATTCAACAGGAATTTATAATAATGATAACAACAGCGGTAATAATAATAATTTGTCTTATGAGACTACAACTAAATGGTTATTATCACTGAGGAAAACTGCACTTGCAGAAGATACAAGTGCGGAATTTCGGAATCCGATTAAAACAAAAGTCTCACAGACGACCTTGAAATCCCATTTCAATAATAAGTGTGGTGATGGTGACAGTAATAAGCATAATAAGAGTAAAATTAATACAGATGAGAAGGATAATGAAGCCTTATCACATGTGTTCAATGTGTTCACATCAGATAATCTAAAAGTTCAAACCATCTCCTCCTCTTCCTTTACAAATCAACTTTCACCAAAACGTGAACGATATAGTTGTCATTTCTGTGGTAAACTGTTTCCTCGATCAGCTAATCTTACTAGACATATACGAACGCATACAGGTGAACAACCTTATAAGTGTATTCATTGTCCAAGATCGTTTAGTATTAGTTCAAATTTACAACGCCATATACGTAATATTCATCAAAAAGAAAGACCATTTCATTGTAGTGTCTGTTTAAAACGTTTTGGACAGCGAGCCAACTTAGAGCGACATATTCGAAATCATTTGATTAGTAAGCATCACCATCATCATCAACATCATAACCATAATCATAACATTCCTTCTCATCAACATCAGCATCCTCATTCCAGTCAGCAAAATTACCCTCCGTCTACTTCTCGTCAGCATTGTAGGCATTCTTCACCTGAAATGAACACTTCGCTAACCAGTAAATGTCTATATAAAGTAGAGTAGAACTGGTCCTATGTAATTCAATGTAATTAATCATTAGTGCTGTGTTACAAAAGCAAAAGGATATAATCTAATTTCATTTATTTATTGGTACTCCATTTGTTTTTTTCTGTTTGTCTAACTTAATTATCAATTTTATTTGTTTATTTACTTATTTACCCAACCATTTATTTATTTACTGATTCGACAATCAATTTTTGTGTTTTCTTTTGTCCTTCCGATTAAACATCATGATAACCATCATCAATGGTGTTAAGCAGAAGCTTTCATTTCTGACTGGTCGATCACATACATCTTCATATCAATCAGAAGAATATATTTCATTTTTCCCTGTCTGTATGGGCTTGTCTCACTTTTTGTCTTATTTATGTACCTGTTAGTCTAGTGCTCATAATGCATACCTCGTAACATGTCGCCAGTCCTCTCTTCCCATGTTCATAACAAGCACAAAAATCTAATGCACACATAAGAAATATCTATACACATAGATGTGTATATGCTGGAGAATTTCATTTACCCACTCAAGTACTCGCCTACCTGCATTCCCACACAAGGTTGTCAATAAGCATACACACATCAAATCGTGAAACAGCTATACATGCACATACACACACTTGATGAGAGCTCCCTGTTTTGTACGCTGTAACTGTAACATCCAAACAACAACAAAAACAACAACAACAAAAATCGGAAAGGTCTCATGTCCAATAGACTTCACTTTTTATTCTGAAATAAGATAACAGATAAATAAAATATAAAGTACCGGAAATGAAGAATTGTTTCCTGTTTCTTGTCTTTTTCCCTCTCTCTCGTCTTCTGCGTGTCACCCATGTAAGCGATTGAAAGTTTGATAGGATGTTCAACAAATTATCAATATGACAGCTGAATAGTATATATATATATATATATATATACAGTAGACGATAACTGAAGGTCAAATGAATATATGGGTAGCCGTACAATTCAAATCCAAAACTGTCTTAGTCTCGTCAAATAACTACCTGCTCATGTCCTTCTAATTCAGTATGTCTGACGAAGAAGACTGAGGCGGTCGGGTAGCTTGTGTGATATTAAAGAAACAGTGCAATTAGGAGGCCTCTGATTCATGTCATTCTGACAAACATCTTCATATATATATATATTTGATTGGTTGCATTCCCACAACTAGAGTCGAGAGGCAGTGGGGATTGTACTGTGTCATTTCATTTTCGTGATTTCCGATTGCCTCAACTTTCAATGTACTTTGTTTTCATTGATACAAGAATGGAAATTGCGCATTGTGGTAGAGTATAATTCCATTATGGGTAAAATTTATTTTGATAAAGTTTCACAGTGTTATATAGTAATATTTACTAATGACGTTTCGAGCACAATTTATTGCCACTCGTAATCATATCAAGGTACTCACACAACTTTCTAACTTCGTTTATATAATTCCATTATTTTTCATCTCTTCTTTTGATTGGTAGCAGTATTTGTATTTGTGTAACTTGATATGATTATGAACAATAAACTGCGCTCGAAATGTCATCTGTATAAGACTGTGAGACTTTATCAAAAGAGCGTTTATCCACAATGGAATTGTACTTTGTTTTCGTCCCCTGCGTTTTTAGTGAAACACGGGGCTCCAAACGTTTTTTAAGTTTTAGTAACACTGAAGTTGTTAGCTTTTTAGAAGGTGGAACTGATAGCCTTACGTCTAACCTGCCTTTTTTCACAACTTAGTACTGGCTAGATTGGGTTTAAGAGTGAACCGTTTGCTAGACGTACTCACACCACCCCAGCGACTGGCACCTGGAACGCCAGGGGTCCTAATTGACAGACCACGCAAAACTTAAATAACAGTCCTGTATACAGGCATCGCCCTACGGGAATCGAACTCAGGACCTCCAAGTTACCAGGCGAACCCATGATCCTGAGATTAGTAATCTCTCGTTCTAACAGCTAAGTTATTCGGGCCGTATACTTGTGGAAATCTAATGGACTATGTCTAGGAAAAAACCCAGAGTAATTTAGATCTGATGAAGTCTGCATGTGTCTGAAAAGTTCACAGACTTTCTCTCCTTTGAAATAATCCATTTAGCTGGGCTGTCCAAAGTCTACCTCTGAATAATTCAACCAAGTCTTACTACATTTGCGTTTCTCACCTGAAATAATCGCTCACCAAGGATAACAGAATCTCGCCTAGTTTACTAGCTCACTAGTTTTCTAGCCCATCCCAAGACCGGGTAAAGAGGGAGGGTTGGACTCGGGGCTAGCAACCCAACACCACTAAATCTTTCAAGCCACTAGATAAAATTCAACACACAGAAAATATATTTAAAAAAAACTTCAAATAAAAATCTTATTCTTCGCTCGAATCGGAGAGGCGAAATGACACAGTGGGCTGGTGAAAGCCTTCAGGAAGCCAGTCAGCCGATGTGTCTTCTCTCGACGAAAGCAAGGGTAAGAATGGGGAGGTGGAATGTCCGTACAATGTACGAGATTTGAAAGGCTGCCCAGGTAGCCAAAGAGATGAGAAGATATGACTTAGAAGTACTGGATATCTGCGAAAGTAGACTGAATTGATGCGGACTGTCAAAATTATCAACTGGCGAGTCAGTAATCTACTCTAGTCTGGTCACCCAGACGACAACCACTAGCATCCTGCGACAGTGAGTGGCTATCATGATGTCACCAGTGGCAGTCAGAGCCTTAATACAGTTAGAACCAATCTCCTCCTTCAGGATTATGACAGCAAGATTCAACTCTAAAGGAAGGAAAGAAGGAGGGTTAGAACTATCCAATCCTACGCACAGTGCTATAAACAACACGAAATAAGAGAAGAAGGCAGATTTTCATAGGCAACTACAAACAGTAATGGACAACATCTGTAATGGTGACATCAAAATCCTTATGGGCGATATGAATGAAAGCCACACTGGGAGCAGATAATATAACAAGAGAACTCATCATGGGTCGAGAGGCTCTCACTCGGTGAAATGAATGGGGACGGGAAAATATTCGCAAACTTCTGCGCTTTCAGTGATTCGGTGATCAGAGGCAGTGTGTACAAACACAAGGATATACACAAAGCAAAATGGAGCTCTCCTGACCGACACACCACAGACCAGATAGATTTCATTTCAATGCTTCTCAAGGAAGTGGAGACGCAGCTAGCCTGCTGCATACAAAGTCGAGAAGGGGAGCAGACATGGGCTCATACCATCATCTCGTTCAAGAAACCTCCAGGGTGAAGCTGAAATCCTCCAGAACGACTGGAGACAGGCCAAAATTCAACTTCAACATTCAGAAGCTGAAGGACAAAAATATACAAAGGATACCTTCACTACAGACATCAGATCAGAGCTGAGTCGGAGACACTACGTAGCATCATCGTGGAAACCTGTGTGAGAGAACATTGGAACTAATCTTCTGAAGGTGATATTCAAGGGAACGTGTACAACTGTTCTAGGAAGAAAGAAGAGACAAGGCAAGCAGTGGCTCTCAACGGACACCTACCTGGAAGCTGATAGAAGAGAAGAGAGGATGATGGTGAAAGAGAAGATGATTCAATGCAATGATGGACAAGAGAAGGAGAAGCTGAATTCAGTGTACACTGTACTGAATACAGAAGTGAAGAAGAGTGGTTGGAAAGACCGAGGATACTTTTACGACACAGTTACTGGCGACTGAAGCAGAACAGGAAGGCCACTGGTAAGAGAGAGAAAACAACTACATCAAAATCATCCACCTGAGCTACAAATCTTCTCCATAATATTTAAAATAAAGTAAGGGTTAAAAACTCATCTGCCTCAACTTCTTTGGTAGCGTTAAGTAATCAAGCAATATCGGGTGTTGAATTTTCGGTGAAAGTTGATTATATAGACAACTGAATTTCTCCGATCAACACTTCTGTGTCTACACATGACACTAATTACTCCCCGCTCACACATCTTTCCTCTGAAATTTCGGAACGGATGACAAATCATTCTGATCAACCACACTATTAACATGATGATGTACCAGTAATTCTAAATGAGTGCATTTTATTGAGAAAATTCTGATGAAAATGAAACCCAAAAATTTATTACGCAAGTGAAATAGCGGATTGATATTTACTGAACAGAGTTATATCGATTAGGCCTCAAGAATGCTATACTGCCCGTTGTCGTGATGACATTATGATTAAAGTGTCGAACTCGAAAGCCTATTGGGATTACCACGTAGGTCTGAATCCTGCTCGCGATGCACATAAGTGCGTCGTTGATTCAGGCGAGCATCCTCACTCCCTAAAACAAACAAAACCATCAAAAATTCAAAGCTTAAGTTTGAAGTCCTATGTTTCTCCTGGAACACAAAGGAATGGGAAATATGTTACATTGACCATGTTTCTCACAAACTTCTGTCCATCTTTCATGACTGTTTTTGGTGTGTACCTGTTCTGTTTATGGTTATCATAATTCTTCTGTTTGTAAAAGTTAAATGTGAGGCATATGATAAATCACAATCTACTGATTCATATATGGTCCATCTGTTTGAGCTTCATTCATATTGTTGAGTCAGTCATCTTATAGTCAAACTGAACGTCAATTAATGAATTGAAATTAACATCTGCTGGCCAAAATTATCTAGTAGGTTAGATGGTAGAGCACTGATTTGGCAAACTAGAAGCCGAAGGTCCCAACTTCTAAATAAGTGTAATTTTTCAATTAGTCTGGATCAAGATAAATGTATTGTCTTCAGAAAAACAGTATCATTTGTATTTCAAACAGCCGCTTTGAAGAGAACAAAGTGAGATGATAGCAGGCGCTGATGCAGCATTTAAGCCGTTGGGATGATATCGTTTTATAATGGAATATTACAGTTTTCTGTAAGACCTTCATTTTGCTCCATTCACCCACTATCCTGCGCCCTAAACTAAGGGCCAGGTTTCAGGCCAGATTTCGTCACGTCCACTGAATATTGTTTCTTTTATTACAACAACAGATGTGAGTGACTTTTTCAGCAACCAAGTTTGAAGCGACAGAATCCCACACGTAAATTTTATGCATCTTTTATGTTGTCACTGAGTTTTACTTATTGTGCACGTGTTAGGTATAGCTCCAATGAACAAGTATTCAATAGTCAGTCCCTGTCTTTCTATGTATTAACTCACGTAACATTTTCGAAGAGTATCTCTGACCGACCCAACTGTGTGATCGTTTATAAGTGTTTGTATTTCAAATGGTTGGACTTTTCTAACTTAATCTTTGATATCAGAGATATGGAAGGTATTATTACCAATTTAAGTTTAGAAGTCATGTAATTACTCCTTGATATGACTATGACGGATAAATTGTGTTTGAAACATCATCAGTAAATGAATAATGCTACATCACTGTGTGCTTTAATGAAATCAAATCATTCTATGTGCGTCGGTGACACAGAGGTTAGGATGCTTTCCAACCATGCATATGGTCTGGGGTTCAATCCCTGGCCGACACACACCTGATATCAATGGTCAGCCTGCTAAATTCGGGCTACCGATATCACATGCTGAAAATTGCATACTTGTACTAAAATACTGTGTGGCATCAAGCTGTAATCAAAATTAAAAAAAGTAAATAAAATAAATATTAGATATGTCTAAATATTAAGCATAGACATTAGATATCAATGTGATTAATAGAATTAAGGTCCAAATATATGAATTAGTTGGTAATAAATAGTCAGAAATAATAATAATACCGAGGATAAATACATGCGGGTATTTATATCATCTAGGTAGTAAACCTTGTGAATAAGTTAATGGGGTGTGTATATCTGTAGCAGGTAATTAGGAGGGATTGAGAGGAGAACATCTACCAGATTTTCTGAGCATAGTCTTAACAGTCTTCGCATGAAAAGTTAGAAAGTGTTTGCTAGTGCAATAGATAAATACCTGATTGACAAGGGACATACACTCGAAATCAGTCTAGCTTTCGAAATAATCAGTATGCATAGAAAACTCTGGCTACTTCGCTTTGCAGAAGCCAATTGGTATCCAGCGTTTTCAACCTAATTTCTGTGTACAGGAAGGTGGCGTGATTAACCTTGTACTATCCTGATAATGAGATGTCTCTGTTTTGTTTCTGTTTTTGTTTTTTTGACTACAGCTCCTACAGCTAAAGTCATTATTAATATTCCAATTGTTGACTTGTGTAATAACTTGAATTTTACTTACCATATCTTTTCACTTCGACCCTCTCCTCACAAAGCTTCAATCATATTGTTTTTTTTTACAAATAAACTATGATTGTTAGATTATTAACCAACGTGTGTGTATATCTGTTGTTCTACTACTATAATCACAGCTTTTGAAATATGTTGTATACTTACATTTATGATAACATGTCATTTTCAGGTTGTTAAAAGTTGAAGATTGAGCCATCAAATAAACCCTGAGCTTATTTTATCCTGCAAATACGTCTTTTATCTCTTTGTTCTAAATGATCAATGGAATCGAGTGAATGAAATTCTTGTAATGACTTCCAAAATGAAAGTGTTCAATCCCTGCTTACTGTGAGTTGCTTTTGACCACACAAGATCACCTAATAATCATTATTGAACTGCACAGAAATGACGGCTTAGCATGCCAAACAGATCAACTACAGTCAGAGTTGAATTCCTCTACTTTTGAATAGTTATTTGTCGGAGAAACCTTTGAAGTTGCTTCAACAAATTAATATCAGTAGAACACAAAAAACTTTAAAAAAATAATGCGTTTGACCTTCAAAGGAATTCTGAATACGTGAATGTAAGTCAAACCCATGAAAGTTAGACTTTCACCTATTCCAAAAAGAGCCTTTTATTTAGATCGTATATGGCATTGCATCATATGCCAATCATTCCCCGTGTCTAAGAAAAAGACGCTGTCACGATCAACGTACATTTCCACGCAAAAAATGCGAAGAAACTAACAGTCTTCTGGATCACCCTGAGATTTTTTCGTTCTCATCATCTTTCATCTTACTTTAATTTTGCTTTCTAAAACTGACATCGTTTTAGTCGGCGTTCATCTATTTGTTAAGTTAGTCCATAAAGTACACCAATGAAGCCAACTCAGAATAGTTTTACATATATCTTCAGTTCCCCTGGGAAACATATAAGATTAAAGAAGCTTCATGTAATTTATAAAACTGAATAATGTCTGTTTCGAAATCAGCGGACATAGATTTGAGCTGTATGACTGGTGGTGAACAGACCCACTTTCTCACCACAGTGAACACACAGTATCGAGAGTAGAAACTCATAGTTACACCACAGTTGCTCTTCCCAATGATATTGCCTTTGTTAGCCTACAAATTGTTTACTCTTGGGTGTATTTCTGAACTTGCTGCAGCTATGTTAAACAGTTTTATACTACCTTTATACACTTTATTTTTTAACATTAATTCGTGCTGTTATAAAGGGTATAATGAATAGATTCTCTTACCAGTTAACGAGAGCAGAGAGATGTGAGAAATTAGCAAGAATTTTGTCAGTTTCTGAGCACCCTCTTTATACGTAACTCTTCCCTTGCATCCAGTCAAGTAGGACTAGAAGCAGTTATAAGCGATTTATGCTAGCAGGACTAAACACAAAATTTCGATGATACCTAATGTTACACACATTTCATGTGATGAGAAATGAAACTACTCACGCATGCCGAAATAGTAAGTAGATAGCTCTTTTTATTCTTCTTATCATCAATGAGATATTTGCAGTAAAATCACTGCTATTATTATCACTAAAGAAATAAGATGAAATTAATATCTGGCGCATTCTTCTTTGATATGATCGTTAACACACTTATAGTTGCGTTCACGAATTGTTCTAACCAATATTAGCAGCAACAGCGCGATACGATGGCAGCGAAAACACAACTCAAGAAGACAAGATGCGAAGACTGGCTGTTGACGTGGAAAGCTCTTAATGTCTCGTATCAACAGTGAAAACGTTTGAATGACCATGAGAGACAATAGTGACATTGATAAATTAAAACAATCAACATCTAATAGGGTCACAAATCAATAAGTGGGTGAGAGATATACAAACAGACATTTAAAAATGACATGTAGAACTTCCGTGTTGTTCTACTTCTAGCCTTCATACTGATAAGTCCTATCAGTAGTATATAAAGAGGTGTTCATAGGCATAAAACATCAAATGGCAGATAGATAGATTTGATGTCAGACAGAAAATGATTCAACGTTGCTGAGATACATGGGAGACGTGAAAGGAACACAAAGAGACACAATATAAAGACAAGAAGTAGTGTAACACGAAAGTGCTGTGCAAATGGTGCGTTGGAGATAAGGTGTACTTAACTTAGCTATATTCAGAGGGATTTTATCTGTTTCAGATTAGACTACCTAATGATATCAGTTAGAGAACCACTGACATACCAAGTCTTTCGTCTTCTGCCTCTACAAGTGCACGTGATGGAAAACTTCCTCTGACTGGGTAGTTAAAGTTCACCGTCGGGTTCCGTGAGATCCAGTTTATCGGTACATGTTTTGTAAATAAAGCAAACCTGGATTTATTGGGTTTGGATTGGTTTGAAAGCCTACGGCTCTCGGAATTCCACCTCAACAGTATATGCAAGAAAGTTGAAGCTACAGATTCTTCGAGTTCCCTTCAAGAATTTAAGACTTTGTTCCAGCCGGAATCGGGACCAAAGTCACACCAGTTTTTCACCCCAAATAGCATTTCCCCTGCGCCTCGTTACAGCCATTGGAAGCTGAGCTGTAAAGATTAGAATAAGCCGGCGTCACTTCTCCTGCGATCCAACTAGCTCCTGAAAAGGCACCGGAGCCCCAAAAGTCAGCTCCTTCAAATTCATCTCCGGAAGTGGCATCACTACCAAAAATATCCAAAGCAAAGATACCTGCAGCCCCACCTAAAGTCCCTGCTCCTGCTTCATCGAAGCTCACAGCTAACATTCCAGAAGAACCTTTAATTGGACGGATGTTGTCATCAATTGCAAATCATCAGAATAGTGCTACAGCTTATTTCCAGAAGGGTGGCTTTGTCTATGCTCAAGATTATCACCCAGGAACAGCAAAATGGATTGAAGGTCAGATTAAGGTTACATGTGGAACAGTAATTTATGAAGTGGAAGCGGGAAATGAAACGTGGAAAAGACATAAAAACCAATTACGACGGTGCCACGGAACGTCATCATAACCTGAGATACCCCTAGATCTCTTACTTGATACATTTAAACTACTTCCCGTGGATACGAAATTAAAAAGGCTGGAGTCGCAGAACAAAAATCTCAGCCTAGAAGACAATGCATTCGTAAGAAATCCACGACAGTACGTTTTCAACAGTAAATTACCCGTAAACTCAGCCACACATCAACTTTGAACCTAAGAGTCACACGCACACAAGTATCTCCGTACGCAGATTAAGTGCACTAGTTTTCTTGCCTTCTTCAACCCTCTTCTCGATAACTGAAGCACCACGTGGTTCATCATATCAAAACTACCTCCACCAGTTTTGCATGCCCTCTAAGTCTTGAACCACACCAACTTGGTGCTGCAAAGGCAAAGTTTGATAGAATGCTCGGAAGACTTCAGCAGTACGGAATGACAATCAAC